GACTGTAAGGAGCCTTGAATGTCAAGGTGAAAAGGCATAGAATGCCATGGAATGTGGCAGCAACACTAGGCGTGGGGCTGCACTCAATTTGTCCCTGTTCAATGCTAGTAATGACCAAGACCACATTGAAAACATATGACTCTCGCTCTTCTCAGACTAGAGACAGACTGATAATGGTTGGTTGCTGCGGGTCACGTGATAAACAACAGAGCTTGCACAGTGGCAACCCACCTGCCAAGTTACACGACGGGCACAATTGTGACTAGTGGAAGGTGGGTTAAGCGGGGCGCAGACAGAGCACGCGTTACAGTTTTACTCTCTTTTGCATCCTCTATGGTTTTTGCCATCCAAAATCCTTTGGTGGTCTACGAGTGGTCCCAGGGGGGTATGTAGTGCAGGCCTGATCTAACCCTTGACAATAGATGCTTAGTAATTGTTTGACAAATGGATAATAGTAATAGATTACATTTAACAATATTATAGATAAATTTCATTTTTTTATCACTTGCATTTCCCAGTTTATTCCTCCTTTTTTCCCACTCACAGAGAGCTAAAACTTATAAACAAAGAAAGCAGCTCAGAAAAGCAAACAAACATATGGAAAATGTTTGTCTTTATATATGGTGTCACATACTCATAGTCTCCACCTCCACCAAGAAGGGAAGGAAGTGCATCCTCAGCTATTTTCTTTGGAGACAATCTCGGCTATTGTGACTTGGTGTCATTCAATTTCATTGTTTTGTTATTGTTATTATTTCCATTTCCATTGTTGTGATTGTTTTCCTGATTCTTCTCACTTGGATGGATTAAGCGCCTACTATGTGCCACGCACTCTGCTAAGCTCTTTTACAAATATTATCTCATTTGATGCTCATAAAAACTCTGGGAGGTAAGAGCTATTATTATTCCCATTTTACAGTTGCAGAAACTGAGGCAGATAGAGTTTAAGGGATTTGTCCAGGATCACATAGTTAGTAAGGATCACACATTAGCTATGTCTAATTTGAACTCAGATCTTCCAGATCTTCCAGACTTTAGGGCCAGCATTCTATCCACTGATCCCCTTCACAGATTCCCAAAGTAGGCGATACTGCCCCCTGGGGAGCACTGGAGTAATCTAGGGAGTGGTGTTTTTTTTTTTGAAATGATGCAAATTTATTTATTTATTTTTTTGGTGAGGCAGTCAGGGTTGAGTGACTTACCCAGAGTCACACAGCTAGTGAGTGTTATGTGTGTGAGGCTGGATTTGAACTCAGGTCCTCCTGACTCCAGGGCCAGTGGGCTATCCACTGCATTGTCTAGCTGCCCCAAATGATGCAAATTAAAGAAAATGTCAGAGTTAAAGAAAGTAGATTTCCGGGGAGCGCTGAGTAATTTCTTTTTGAAAAGGGGGCGGTAGGCCAGATAAGTTTGGAACCTTTGCACTCTGCTTTACATCAGCTCACATGTCTTCCTGTGTGCCTCATATTCATGACTTCTTATAGCACAATGATATCTCATTGCATTCAGGTAATGGAATTTGTTTGGTCATTCCCAAAGTGATGGACATCTATCTACCTCGATCCCAGTTCTTTTCTCCTCCAAAAAGGGCCATTATATGAATATTTTGGTGTACATGGGGATCTTAAAAAAAAAAAAGAACAAATTTCTATAGTACTTTGTGATTTGTAAAACACTGCCCTTATGACAGTCCTGTGAGGTACCTAGCTAATAAAATTATTAATGTTCCCATTTTATAGATGAGAAAGCTAAGGTCCAGAAAGAGAAAATGACTTACCTAAGGCAGATAGCTACTTGAGTCTAAGAGCAAGAGGGCTCAGAACTCAGGCCTTGTGATTCCAAGATTAGCAGTCTTTCCACCATACCCTACTGAGTATGGGAAAGAAACCGAGGCCTGGAAAGGGACAATTAATTTACCCAGAGTGGTATGGTGCATGGTAGAGCAGGGCTTAGAACCTAGGATTTCAGGATCCTTATGCAGTCTTTCCCTTCCACTGCATGGCATGTCTCTTCTCATCAACCAGGCTCCCAAACGGCCACTTTGAGGCTTCTCTCATCTATGTCTTCCCTGCTGGTTCTTTCCCTTAGGCCTGCTCCTCTTTTCTACTATTTTCTGCCTTGTCTTTGCCTGATAATGGCAAGACACTACTTTCTTAAGTGCCTTAAAGTTTACAGAGAACCTCTCTCCCCACAATCCAGGATGGTGAGTAGTATAAATATTGTCATTCCCACTTTACAGATGAGGAAACTGAGGCCCAGAGAGGAAAAATGACTTGCCCGTGGTCATATAGATATCAAGTGTCAGAGCTGGGATGCAAACTCAGGTCTCCTAACTCCAAGTCCACTAATCTTTCCATCACACCACACTGCCTTGGGACTGAAATGTGACCAGTCGTAGGGTGGCAATATGTTCCACCAGTGGCAAAGCACCAGTTCTTTTAGAGCTGATTCCTGGAGGCAGGGGCTCATTGTTCTAGCATCCCTTCCAACAGCCATTACCTCTTACGAGAATCTCATAGCATTTGGCTCAGACCCATAGGGCAACCGATCCGCTTTGAGTTACTCAATTGTTGGCTGACACTTTCTCCCCCAGAAGGAAGGCTTAGCCTGGGTCGATAGGAAAACCACAACTTACTGTTGACACCCTGATGGGTTTCTTGGCTATTCCCATCCTTTTGTATCTTCCCCATCCCCAGAGCTGTTAGTCCATATAAAAAGCCTGGCACCCCAGTGCCCCAGAGGAACTGAGCAAGCAGGCATCCAGGAAGGCCTCTGAACTCACCCGGGACAGGGAGCAGGTAAGACAGTAAAGGATATCCTATAGGGTTCCCTTAAAGATGAAGATCGGGGATCGTTAGGATCAGAGCTGGACAAGACCACCGAGATGGGTGCCATCTTGGGGCAGTGGAAAATAACATAGACTTTGGATTCAGAAGACCTAGATTCAAATCCTGTCTGTTGTTTATTATCTTTGTCAATTTGGTAAAATTAACCTCTTTTGTTTTCTCATTTGTAAAATGAGGGAGTCAGACTAGGTGATCTTTAGGGTCCCTCTCAGCTCTAAATCTCTGATCTCTGATAATCTAGTTTGACATTTTCCTATTATATAGAAGGGGAAACTGAGGGCCAGACAGGGGGAAGTGACTTTCCTAAGGTCGCACAAGTAGTAAAATCACAGATTCAGGATTTGAGCCTTTTAACTTTAAATCCAGTGCTCTTTCCTCTATGCCATGTCATCTCTCTGGCTTGCTTCCTCTTCCCACTGGGAACCTAGGTGGAACCCTCTTCTGAACATGTCATCCTTCTGAGCTTCTTCTTATTCCTCTGTAAAACAGATTATAGGATGCAGAGGCAGAAAGGGACCTTAGAGACCACTCTACCCCCACTTTACAGATGAAGAAACTGAGGTCCCATTCGAAATCCCAGGTCTTCTGATTCAAAACCTAGTAATTCTTATGCTTTACCAGTCTGAATAGTTATCCATAAAAGAAGGTCATACGTGTTTTGAGAACTGTGGGAGAAATCGCTCACAGATCTCTCATTTGATAGAGGAGAAAACTAAGGCTCAATGAGAGTGACTCATCTGAGATCCTATGGAGAGTCAGTAGCAGATCTGGGAACAGATGCTGGTCTCCAGGCTCTTGGTCTTCTGTTTTTCTCACTGAGATGCCCTCTTTGTCCAAACTGAATGAGGATGCGTGGAGACATGCAGAGCATCCTCAGCTCCTTGGTGACATCAGGTTACAGAAAGCTTGAATGTGTAAGGTGCAGAAGAGGCAGCAGCTTTTTCTTGGTGCTGCTAGTGGGGTGAAGTCAGGCTCCTTGGATATGTCTCTGTATTTACCTATCTAATCTAACTGTGCTCTCTTGTGGTGATGGGTAATTAGTCCCTCAGTTAAAACCCAGTCCCTCATCTTATCAGCCTTCTACTAAGTTCTATGGAGGCAAACAGAGGACAGAAAACACACAGTGTATGCCTTCACAGTCCAAAAGTGGACTTGGTGATTACACTATCCCACGTGTGAAGTGAGTAAAAGACAACATAAATAGATAGATGTGGGGCTAGAAACACCTGCCTTGAGCTAGTAAAGACAAGAGGGATGTCCTGAAAAGAGACTTAGGTTTGGAGTCAGAAGACTTGGGTTGAAACCTCAGTTCAGCTTAACTGTATGACTGAGCAAGGCAGTGGATAGAGTATTGGACCTGCATTCAAGAAGACCCAAATTCAAATCCAGCTTCAAATACTTACTAGCTGGGTGACCCCGCACAAGTCACTTAACCTCTGTCTGCATCAGTTCCCTCATCTGTAAAATGGGATAATAACAGCATCTACTTCCCAGAGTTGTTGTGAGGATAAAATGAGACAATATTTATAAGTGTTTATCATCATCATTATCATTATCATTTCTTCATATCTTTTTGGGCCTCAGTTTCCTCACCTAAGGAGGCTAGACTTGGTGATGCCTAAGGTCACTTCCAGCTTTAAACCCTCTGGTCCCGTGACTTGGGCGAAATGGCCTGCTGTTGTGATGGAAGAAACCAGATTGGGTGGGAAAATGAGGGAGTGGAGAATTAAACTGGGAAGGCTTCATGGAAGAGATAAATTTGCAGTGGGGCTTTGATGAGGGAGAAGACCCTGTGTCTTGTTACAAAACACAGCATCACAGAATCATACATCTGGTCCAACCTGGACAAGAATGTGTCCCCCAACTTTGCTGAGAAGGGGCAGCCCAGCCTTTGGTTGTACCTCCAGTAAGGACCGCACTGCCTCCCACAGAAGTCATTACACCTTTGGATGACTTTAACCATTAGCTGTTTTTCCTGACACACCATGACCAAATTTGTCCCTCTGCCACTTCTCCTCACCATTCCAAATTTTGCTCTCTAGAGAGGAGGGGGTTGGTCATCCTCTAGGGAAAGGGACTGAGCCAGGGCCAAGCTGGGGTCTGTGTGTGCAGGAGACTGAGAATTCTTGTTTCCAACTCTTCCAGGTATTAAGGCTGATGATGTTCTCTGTGCTCTCTGTGGTCCTTTTCTTTGGGTTGTTGACTCCATCACAAGGGCTACTAGAATCAGTCGGAACGATTGCACGGCTTGATAAAGATGAACTGGCATCAGGTGAGTTTTGCTCATGAACCTCATATTTGTGTTAGGTATCTGGGCACTGGGTTTGTCTATAATCCTTAGCAGATTATAGAGTGTTTTCCTTGAGGTAGCCCTGTGAGGTAACTGGCATCCATATCATTATGTCCATTTACAAAGGGGGAAACTGAAGCTCAGAGAGGAAAAGTTTCTTGCCCAAGATCACACAGCTAGCGAGGAGTGGAGTGGTTACTAGAGCCTAGGACTCCTGGCTCTCATTCTGGTATTGTTTCCACTCCATCAGACAACCTCTGTAAATGTGTATCAAGAGAAACCTTGAAGGAGAAAAGAAATCCTAGGACCAGAGAACAGCTCTTTAAGAGGGAGCTCAGAAGATGTTTAGCCCAATCTGTACTTAAAGCATGGGACCATGATTCAGAAGACCTGGTTTCTGTTTCTGGTTCTGCCACTACCTTGATGTGAGACCTTGAACAAGTCTCTTTCTTTCTGGGACTCACTTTTCTTTTCTGAAAAACTAAGGGATTGGATTTTAGAAAATGAGGGAAGTGGTAGCCCCTCCCTGTTCTCTGCCCTGGTCAGACTCCACCTGGACTAGCACAGCCATATCAGGTCATCACATTATTTTATTTTATTTTATTTTTAGGCAATTGGGGTTAAGTGACTTGCCCAGGATCACACAGCTAGCAAGTGGCAAGTGTTTGGTCTAGGGCTGGATTTGAACTCGGGTTCTCCTGACTTCAGGGCTGGTGCTCTATCCACTGCCCCACCTAGCTGCCTCCTGGCCATCACATTTTAAAAAGGACAATGAGAAATTGGAGTACATCCAGTGACCAGAACGGTGAGAGTGCTAGGGATTGTGTTATGAAATGATTAACTTAAAGTACTTGGGATGTTTAATTTGGAGAAGAGAAGACTCAGGGCAGACCTGATAGCTGCTGTCAAATAGCTGAGGGGTTGTCATGAGGCAAAAGCCCTAGAGGGCAGAGCTGGGCACACTGGATGGAAAATTTAGGGAGATGGACAGAAGAAAGGAGGCAGCCAGGTGACCCAGTCAATGGAGTGCTGGTCCTGGAGTCAGAAAGACCTGAGTTCAAATCCTGCCTCAGACACTCACTGTCACTGTGACCCTGGGCAAGTCATTTAACTTCTGTTGGCTTTAATTCACTGGAGAAGAAAATGGCAAACCATGCCAGTAGTTTTGTCAAGAAAACCATACACGAGGTCACGAAGACATGACTGAATAACAACAAGCACACGGAAGATAATTCTTCATAACAATTTGAACTGTCCAAAAGTGTAATGGGACTTCTCAGGGAGTGGTGGGCTCCCCGTCACTAGGTATCTTCAAGAAGATGCTGGATGACTGTTGTCAGAGATTTTGTGATCAGTCCAAGGTTTGACTAAGTGACTGTGGAGGTTCCTTTCAACTCAGGGATTCCATAATTCTTTTTAAAAAAGTTTCACTGTTACTTTAAAAATTTCTGATTTCCCCATCCTAGCCTGCTCCGTAAGAGCGTCTCTTGGGACATAGAAATGTATTTAAACAAACCAATAGGAGGGAGGTTTGTTTCTCTGTCAGTCTGGTGGAGCCAAAACTGTTGCTTTTACATTACTCTAACTATTGTATAAATTGATGTCTTGTTTCTTTTTATATCATTCAGCACCATCTCCTCAAGTTTCTCGGAATAATTCACACTTATTTCTTATAGAGTAATAATACAGTCTAACATTCTACTATATTAATAAACCACAATTTGTTGTCAGTTGCCAGATGATAGGCACCCACTTGGTTTTCAGTTGTTTTGCTACCACAAAAAATATTGCTATAATTTTTTTTTTTAATATCTGGGACTTTTCCCTATGTCTTTGACCTTTTCTTAGTAGATACCCATTAGTGGTATCATTGGGTCAGAGATTATATGCAGTGTAGTGGATTTCCTTGCATAGTTCCAAAATGTTTATAGAATGACTGGACCAATTCACAGCTCCCCCAACAAAGAATGCCTTCTCTTACCACAGCACTTCCAACATTTTATTAATTCCAATTTGCATCATCTTTGCCAATCTTGTGGGTGTAAGGCAAAACCTCAGAGCTATTTTAATTTGTGATAGATTGCATCTCTTTTGAAAACTACCTGTTCATATCTTTGACCACCTATCTATTAAGAGATGGGGATTCTGTAATTGTGTGGAGCTCTTTTCTAGTACTAACATTCTACATTTGTTGTTCTACCATTTCTTCTAGCTCTAACATTTTATGTTCTAATTTTCCTTTCAAATCTAATATTCTGTGTTCCTTGTTCTAAGATCCTTTTGGTTCTAAGCTATTTAGGTTCACTGACTCCATATCTATTTACCATACAACCAGATCACATGAGCTATGGAAAAATCCAGGGGGAGGTGGTTTCATTAGGGGGCAGCTTTCTTCGCAGGGCAATTCTCTCCCTGTCTCCCCTTATGTCTCTGCTCTTTTCAGCAGTAGACACTGCTTTTCCCCAGACTTAAAGTCTTCATTTGAAACAGTGCAAAGAGTCTCTCAAGAGGAACAATGTGGAAAAAGTGGGGCCAGAAGGATGTGGAAATATAGAACAGGGGAAGGTACTTGAATTAGAAGAGTAGGTACAGAAGCCTTAAGAGGAAAGAAGGCTCCAATCTCCTAGTCATTGATGAATCCCTCACCCACCTGTCCCAGATGGTTAGGTTCAAGGTCACATCCTAGATATCCCTCATCCAAATGCTGAGGTTGTGTACAATTCTGGAGTTTCTCCCCTACAGCTTTCCTCTAATCTCAACCATAGTCCCATCTTCAGTCCTAGCCAGGCCTTTGTCTACTCCTAAAAAGGCAACGATATTCAAAGGCCACCTAATGATGTGTCTGGAAGCCTTGGGGAACCCTGTTCCAATCACTACAGAATGCCTGGAGTGAAGAAGGAATGAGGAGCGTGAAGAGGAGGAATATAAAATAATGTTTGGATACATTAGTAATTATTTATTACATTAGTAATACAAAGTAATAGGGAGCCACTGAAGGATTTTGAGGGGGTGGGGATACAAAATGATCAGAGCAATGTATTAGGAAGGTCAACATGGCAACATATATTGGATGGATAGGAAAGGGGAGACAGGAGAGAGGGAGACCTATGTGAGCTCCCCCAAACTTTGAGTCTCTGGAGAGATGAGCCTTCTTTGTGAGAGTCTGACCACTTCCTGGTTGGATGAGAGAGTTTTGGCTGGGTCCATTTCCGGGTTTCCTCCCCCGCTTTAAATTCAATAGATGCTCCTGTACTGGGAAGAAGTTTTTGCTCAGGGTTCCCAGACACCGAGAAGCTGAGTATGGATATCTTGTGAGAAGAATGAAGGAGAAGCCTGGGATCTGACTGAAACTCATTGGTCCCTTAAGGTTAAATACTGATTTCATTTGGAATTTCTTTTTTCTACTTCATATTATTCCAAATAATGCATCTGGCTGACTTGGACACCATGACTTTTGCTTGGGCCCAGTGACCTGAAGTGGACGATATGGTGTACTGGGAAGAATACTGGATGGGAAGAAGACCTGAGTTTGAATTCTGACTTTGTTATATCCTAGATGTGTGACCTTCAGCAGTTAATTAAGCTCTCTGGGCCTCGGTTCTTCCCTGTAAAATAAGGGAGTTGTACTAGCCAATGTCTAGAATCCCTTTTGGCTTGAAATCCTATAAAACTAAGGAAGCTGGCTATCTCTCAGGAAATGGGTATGGTGCATTTGTTCAGCCTGGAGGGGTACATAAGGGCCTAACTTTCTGTCACTCATTCCAGCCATCCAGAATTCTCTAGTGGGTGGTCCCATCCTACAGAATGTGCTGGGGACTGTCATATCCTTGAACCAAGGTCTACTTGGGTCTGGAGGGCTGCTTGGAGGAGGAGGTCTACTTGGTTATGGTGGGATAGTTGGAGCTGTGGAACAGGTCTCTGGGTGAGTCACTTTCAGTTCAATTTGATCTGTATTTATTGACAGCTTTTCCCCAAGGATTTCTTTGGGGGATTTGGGGGCGTGGCAAACAGGTTTACTCGGTAGGCTAAAAAAGATGAGACAGCAAGTTTGGCTCAGGACATAAATTGGCTGTGTGACCCTGAGGAAAATTAACCTCTTGGTGCCCCAAGCACCTCTCAACTAGTTTGCATTCCTTCTTTTGAAAACTGTCAGTTCATATCTTTGACCATTCATCTATTGGGGAATGAGGATTCTGTACTTTTGTGAAAGTCTCTTCCAGTGCTAACATTTTGCCCTGTTCTAACAACTATTCTGGTCCTAACATTCTTTGTTCTAAATTTCCTTCTAGTTCTAACATACTATCTTCTAAGCTCCCTTCCAGCTCTAAATTCTATGTTCTCAGCCCCGTCTCTATCTTCAACACTCTAGATTCTAAGGTCCCTTCCAGCTCTAACATTCTAGATTGCAAGGTACCTTCCAGTTTTAATATTCTAGATTCTAAGGTCCCTTTCAGCTCTAACATTCTATGTTCTGAGGTTCCTTCAACTCTAGCACTCTATCCTCTGAAATCCTTCTAGCTCTAACTTGCTAGCTTCTAAGTTTCCTTCTAGCTCTTACATCCTATGTTCTAAAGCCCTTTCTAGCATTACTCTTCTATGTTCTAAGCTCCCTTCCAGTTTTAACATTCTATGTTCTAAGCTCCCTTCTAGCTCTAAATTCTATGTTCTAGTCCCCCCCCATCTCCAACATTCTGGATTCTAATGTCCCTACTAGCTCTAGCATTCAGACTCTATGTTCTATGTTCTAATATTCCTTGCAGCTCTAGCACTATATTCTACGATCCTTTGGTTTGGTTTAAGGTCCTACCTCTAGTACCATTTAATTAGCATTTGGGTCTTAGATATTCTCTCTGACACCAAATTTCTCTACGATGTGATTAGATGAAATGTGACATGGAAAATTCCAGGCTGGGGCCATGTCATTGAGAAGGTACAAAGCGGGTACAAATCTACATTGGCAGAGGGGATTTTCACACCAATATTTCCTATAGGTACAAACTCACAGGAAAGAACAATCTTTTTAAAAAAGCTTGGCTCTACCTGGCAGAAAGGCAGACTGGGATGAACAGACCTGAGTTCTAGTTCCAACTTTGCCACTAACTTGCTGGTTGGCCACTTAATCTGTCAAGTATATTGGCCTAGATGGTCTTGAAGGCCTCTTTCAGCTATAAATCCCAAGGTGCTAAGGCCTGCCACCCTCTACTTTCAGGTATACTCAGGACTTCCTTTTCTATTGCAGGTGCATTCTAGAGGAAGGCTCACCTGTGGTGCCCCCATATAGGATGAACGCCTGCTCTCTCTATCACCTCACCTTCTCTGACTCATTTTCCTTCTCCTTAACTGGCAGGTTGAAGATTGAAGAGCTCACGCTCCCCACGGTATCCCTGAAGCTACTGCCAGGATTTGGGGTACAGTTAAGCCTACTGACCAAAGTTGGCCTCCATGGATCAGGGTAAATGGGATCCTCAGGAAGGGGCCATTTCTATTGACTCATGGGCATCTCACCCTTGCTTAGCAAGGCTAAGCTTCATGCTTCAGGCTGGGTGGTGGGTGGATGGCCATGGGCTCAGAGTCAGTGTGGTAGGGGCTTATTAAAGGAGTTGGGCTTAGTTAAGGGGATTGGGGCTCAGTGAATGGAGGAAGATCAGCACAGGGGACAATTGGGCTCAGGGAAGTGGATGGGGGCTAAGAGATAAATACTATACATATACAAATACGGCATAATGTCATGGAAGGTGTTCCAAACCTGAAGTTGGGAGACTTGGATACTGGCATGGGCTTTGCCCCTGACTTATGGTGTAACCTTGAATAAGTTACTTCACCTTTTGGGTTTTATATTCCAGTCTCTTGAGTCTTTTCAAAAATATTCTATGTCCTAAAGTTCTTCCTGGCTCTGACATTCTGTGTTCTGAGGCCCCTCCCGGCTCTGAATTCTGTGTTCTAAGGTTCCTCCTAGCTCTGACAGTCTGTGTTCTATACTCCTTTCAGCTTTTACATTTTAAGTTTTAACATTATGTGTTCTAACCCAGTTCTAACATTCTGTGTTCTGTATTTTAAGTTTCATTCCAGTCCTGATAGCCCATTTTCCATGAACTTTAGACACATTTATCGAGACCTAAAACATGTACACATCTGACCGTAGTCACTTGGGCGTATCTTCATCCCTTAACTGGTATGGTGTTGGTCTCCTAGCCCATTTAGGGAGGGGGACCTTTAACAGTTCCTCTCTGAATTTTCTCCCAGCTCTCTGGGGAGCCTGTTGCAAGTGGCAGCTGAGGTGAACGTGTCATCCAGGGTGGCTTTGGGGATAAGTCCCAAGGGCACACCAATCCTCATCGTGAAGAGCTGCAATACCCTTTTGGGTCATATCAGCCTGCTATCTGGGTAGGTACTGGTCAATTACTGGATAGATACTGGGATTAGTGCTTGGCTTGAGGCAGGTAAGAAAACTCCTTACTCATGTTACTCAAAACCCAAGGTCCTCTGACTCTGATCACCTCTTCTTGGGACTTGGGATTTGGACCTCTCTTGAACCTAACAGTCTCATAATTTCACCTTCCATTTATGAAATAGAACATAGGGTATCCAGGCAATTCTTGCTTATCAAATCACATTTTAAATGCCTCAGTGGTAGCTAGGTAGCACAGTGGGTAGAGAGCTGGGCCTAGAGTCAAGAAGACCTGAGTTGAAATCTAGCCTTAAACATATTAGCTATGTGGCCCTGGAAAAGTCACCAAAAAAAAAAATCTCTTTCTGCCTCAGTTTCCTCATATGTAAAATGAAGATAATAATAGTACCTATCTCCAAGGTTTATTGTGAAAATAAAGTGAAATAATATTTCTAAAACATTTTGCAAACCTTTAAGCTCTGTATTAATGCTAGCTATTATTATTTAACCCTTCTTCAGGCACTTGCTAGCTGTGTGATACTGGGCAATTAAGTCACTTAATCTCTCTTAGCTTCAGTTTCCTCAACTGTAAAATGGGGTTAATAATAGTTCCTGTTTCACTGTGTTGTTATAAGGCTCAAATAACATAACCTATGTAAGGTGATTTGCAAATCTTAAAGTATTATATACACATAAATATAGCTATTGTTATTGTTATTATATTGACATCCAGCTTTACACAGAGGCTAATCATGTCACCTCACATCTGGACAGTGCTTCACAAATGGAATCCTAGAACTTGAAAGGTAGAGACGGGACCCTGGGAGCAGGAAAGGGCCCAGGAAGAGGAAGACTAGACTTGCAGGACAAACTTCACTAATTCAGACCTGCTGATTCCCAGTTAGATGTGAGAGGTACTCCTCTACTTAGGTTACAGCTGGCACCCCACTTAGAAGGCGTGGCTCTTTATAGTTGCTGTTTAGTCATTTCAAACCTGTCTGACTCTTTGTGACCCCATTTGGGGTTTTCTTGTCAAGAATACTGGAGTGGTTTGCAATTTCCTTCTCCAGCTTATTTTACAGCTGATGATACTGAGGCAAACAGGGTCCCATAGCTAGTAAGTGTCTGGGGCCAGATTTGAACTCATGAAGATGAGCCTTCCTGATTCCAAGCCCAATGCTCTTTCCACTGTGCCACCTAGCTAGCTCTTCACAGAGGGCTCTTGAAAGTCCTAAAAACAGGATGAGATGAGGTGCTCTAACGGTAGAATTTCAGGTTTGGTGAGAGGCCATTTGGGGAGGGGTGTTTGTATGTGTGTGTGTGCAGGGGCAAAGAGGGAGAATGGTATTGGTGATGTTACTACCAACCTGATTTAGTGGGAAAGATTCCTAGGCTAGAAGTCACAAGACCTAGGTTCAATTCTGCTTCTAATTGTGTGACCTTGGGCAAATCCCTTGTCACTCCTGGGCCTGTTTCCCCATGTGTAAGAGAAGGGACTGGGACCTGATGGTCTCTCAGGTGTCTGCCAGCTCTGCCATTGTAAGTTTGGTTTAGCCCCTCTTCCTTTCATGGTGTCCCTCCCCAGTGTTCTCTGTTCCAAGCTACCCTCAGCAAGGGGTCTGAGATCCCTCACAGGGAGTCTCTTTCTCCCTGGATGGTTACTCTCCCAGGGAGACTTGCATTCTTGCATTCTCTAGTGGGGTATGTAAAGGGCCCTGTTCTCTGTTTCTGTCTCAGTAGGGGATCAATCAATCAATCAACATTTATTAAGCACCTGTTATGTACTGGATACTGTGTTAAGTGCTGGAGACACAAAAGGAGGCAAAAGACAATCCCTGCCCTCGAGGAGCTTATAGTCTAATAGATTCGAGGTCTCAGTGATCAGACTGGGGAGGAAATTATAGAGCGATAAAGAGGAGCTTTCCTGGCACCCTTAATATCCTACCTCATAAGCAGTTCCTTATTGTGCCTACTGGTAAAGGGGCCTATGGGCTGGAGGTCAGGGTAGGGAAGGATTTGCTCTATGGGTGGCTTTGGCTGGTTTCCAGCCTATGAGACCTGTGGGTTTGCATAGCTCAAGGCCCCTGGATTCGGAGTAAAAATGTGCATTCAAATCAGAGCTCTGCCATTTTCTCTCCAGCTATCTGTATGACCTTCAGCAAATTATTTAACCTCCATGGATCTCCGGTTTCCTCACCTGTGTAAGACGAGAAGTGCAGAACGAGCCTGGAACTGGGCTCAAACTTTAGTCGAACTTCAATGTGGATGTAGAGGAGGGAGGAGGGGGACTACCGAGCAGAACTGAAACTGTTTATAGGAGCCTAGATTTAGAAATGGAAGGGACCTCAGTTTACCCACCTTCATTTTACAAATGAGGAAATGGAGTCCCAAGCAAGTCGCTGAAGGTCACACAGGAAGTAGGCGGCAGTGCTAGGATTTGAACTCAGGACCTCTGACAAGTCTAGCTTTTTTTCTGCTGAATTTTTGAAGTGTGACAATGAAAACTAAAAGCAGATGTTTCAAAACGTTACTTGGACTCATTTTCACCTTTGCCAGATGACTGAACCATTAACTTGGTCACTGCAAGTCAGACAGCGCCCCCTAGTGGGCCCGGGAGAAAGGTTACAGAGAAAGACGCCTTCCTTGCTGGAGCCACATCTTGTTAGAAGCTTGGCTTTGGCTGTTTTTAATTTTTAAAATTTTACCTTTCTGGGTGAAAATGGGCACAGTTGCCTGGTGGGAGTGAGGAGACCTAGCTTCTAGTCCTGGTTCTGCTACTGACTATGTAACTTTGGGAAAGTCACTGTCCCTTTCCAGATCTCAATTCCCTCATTAGTAAAATGAGGGAGTTGGATTAGATCAGGGATGTGCTGGAGCCAGCTCAAACTGGCTTATGGGAGCTGATTGTTAAATTTTCAGTGTGAACATTAACACCTCAGAAATTGGCAAGCTACAAATCAGGGCTTGACTGATTATTTTATTGATTGCCTCGGCTTCAGAAGTTGATATTTCTCCATGTTAATAACGCAGATTGAACTTAAAAGAGTGTCAGGCTTACATTTTGTTTTTCAAAGAGCCGGTTGTTAAATGTTTATGAGAATACTGCTGGACTAGATACATTTTAGAGTTTCTTCCAACTTTGTCAGTCTACAAAAACTATATGTTCTAAAGTTCCTTTTAGCTCTGACATTTTATAGTCTATGATTCGGGTCTATGGGTTAATCAGTTTGAATAATTTGTATTTCTATGTCAACTATGAATGGTTTAGCCGTCCCAGGGAACATTAGACCTTAGCTCACTTTAAATTCACGTATCAGATGAGTCCTTATGGAATGATGATAGTGGTAGAATGTGAGGTTGTAGGGAACAACATCTCAGATCAAAGCCCTGAGCCAGTAGGTAGGGCTGTGATCGTGTGTCCCTCTCCCCATTCCCCACTCCTCCATCCCTTCCACTTTCCCATTGGTGGGGGCAGGAACTCTCAGTATCTGGGCAGAAAAACTCGGGTCATAGTCTAGGGACTGCTCAGTAAGGGAAGCAACAAGAATATTGGTATCGCTTCTGATGCCACACTAGGCTGTTGCCTCACAAATGAGACCTGATCAGTTTGGGTGGGAGGTGAGGTAGGGATGGGAGCTTCTGCATCGCACCTGAAGAAGGCAAGTGATGGGGAAGAAAGAAGCTGTGGCTGAGAGAGCTCTACACCTAGTCAGCCTGTGAGGCCCTCCGCCTCCTACCTTCTACCTCTAGACTTGTCTTTCTACGGTCCTTAACTTTCAAGGGAGTCCTGAGTGTTCACTGTAACCTGATTGTGCTGGGATACAAATATTTAGGGGAGCAAATAGCACCCCTGCTGGATCCTCTAGTTAACCAATCTACAAACATTTGTTAGACAGATTTGAACTCAGGAAGATTAGTCTTTCTAATCCACTCTATCCACTGTGCCACCTAGCTGCCCTACAAGCCTGCTATCAGCCAGGAACTCTACTAAATACTGGGGAGATTAAAAACAAGTGATACAAAATTAGAGTGCCCTCAAAGAGCTTCCATTCTAATGGGGGAGATAAATATATAGGTATATTATATATATATATATATATATATATATTAAATATACATGCACATATAAAAGTTTATGCTATATGTATACATATAAAGTAAATACATAATAGCATGTGTTTGTGTGTTGTGCATGTGTACTAACAACTAGGGGAATCAGGAAATGTTTCGTGTGGAATAGAGATTCTTAACTCGGGGTCCATGAATTTGGTTTAAAAAATGTATATAAATATACACAGAAACATATATGTATATATGTTGATAATTGTATCAATATAATTGTTTGCACTTGTAATACTATGCATTTTATTTGATGCATTTAAAAACCTTCTTTGGAGAGGGGAGTCTATCCACAGGCTTCACCAGATTGCCGAGAGGGTCCAGGACACAGAAAAGTTAAGCATCCTTGGTGGAGAAGGTGGTATTTCAGCTGAGTTTTGAAGAAAACCAGGGAATCTAAGAGGCTGACCTGAGGAGGCTGGGAGTAGGGGAATGACACACTTTCTAGGCATGGGGAGCAATCAGTCCTAAGGCATGGAGACAGATGTGGGATAGCCTGCATTAAGAACATTAAGAAGGTCCTGGTGACTGAGCCATCAATTGTGTGAAGGAGAGTAATCTGTAACAAGGTTGGAATGTCCCACACCTACCCTACCTCCCTAGAGATATCTTGTGTTTCTCACAGCCCCTAGGGTTGCCCCAGCCCCATGAGACCCCATAGTTTCACCTGGGTCTCACATCCCATAGGGAAGACCCAGTCCAGCACGTTCTATGATTAACCCTTCTGTTGCTTTGGCTTAGACTGCTGCCGGCCCCACTCTTTGGTGTGGTGGAACAGACACTCTTCAAGGTGCTGCCCAAACTGGTGAGTCTCCAAACTGGCTCTGCCAGGGTGCTGCCCTCTGACTGACCCTTGAAGTCTGGACCCTGCTGGGAAATTTATATAACTCCCTAAATGACATCCAAGTTAAGCCCTTAAATCCTTGCATCTAAAATTCCCTTATGAAAACCCTCTTCGGTAATTCCATCTGACCCTATCAGCTCCCAGCACACTTGGTAGTTTTGGCAGGAGGGGATGGAGGTGGAGGAACAAGGATGTTAATAATATTAATAATAATTATAATAATAACAGCTAGCATTTATATGGCACTTCACGGTTTGCAAAATATTTTATAATATCATTTCATTTCATTCTCACAACATCCCCAGATGGTAGGTGCTATTACAGATTTGGAAACTGAGGCAGAGGTTAAGTGACTTGCCCAGGGTCACAGAGCTAGTAAGTGTTTAAGGCCTGTTTTGAACTCAGTTCTTTCTGACTCCAGGTTCCTCATTGTACAGTTGGTAGTGACTGTTCCACCTAGCTGCCACCCCACCCCCAATATTATTTCATTTTATCCTCATAACAGCCCTGGGAGGAAGATGCTCTTATTTTCCCCATTTTATAGATAAGAAAATATTAGGCACAATATCACTGCCCCAAAATGTCTCAAGTGGTATCTTACAACCAGAGCCCTATATGGGACTCAGTCAGAGATAATTGGGGCCCTAAAAAAAAAAAAAGGTCATCCTGCCTAATGCCCACATTTTATGGTTGAGAAAACCAAGGAGCAGGGGGGTTGTGACATGAAACAAATGGTGGGTTGAGCACTTGGAGTTGGAGTCAGAAAGACCTGAAAAATCCTGCCTTAGACATTTATTACCTGTGTGACCCTGGGCAAGTCACTTAATCTCTTTCTGCCTCAGTTTCCTCAACTATTTCCTAGGATTGTTGTAAGCATCAAAGAATATATGTGTAGCACTTTGTAAGCCTTAAAATGCTGTATAAATGTTATCGTTTTTATTATTATCATCGCGATTATTATCTAAAGAATCCATGTTACAGAGAGAGCAGTTGATGCCCAGAGAGAGGTCATGTAATCACAGACCTCGAGCTGACAGGGAGCTCTGAGGCCTTCTAGTCCAACCCTCTCCAAATCCTACAATCCCAGGACTCCTGCAGCTGTGTCTTCCTTCTCTCCCATGCAGCTGTGTCCCGTCGTGGACACTGTCCTGGTGGTGGTGAATGAGTTCCTGGGCGCTGTGCTGCGTAAGTTGTGGTCACTACTCCCTCCACTTAGTTCTTCTCTGTTTCCTTCTCTATTGTCACATAAGGACTTGAGGCCACACACTTAATGTGTGGCCTTGGCCAGATTGTTTCCTCCTATAGAAAATGGGACTGATAATCTTTGTCCTGCATCTCTCACGAGGCTTTCTTTAGGCAGATCTAACAAGAGGACACACATGAAAGCACTGGGCAGCATTGGACAGATGTGAACAGATGTGTGCTATCTCCATTAATAATTACAGCTGACATTTCTAAAGAACTTGCAGCTTACTAAAGTGTCACAAGTATCCTTACGACAGCCCCTAGGTTAGGCAGGACTGACTGCCCTTTAGACATGATGACAGCTGAAGTCCAAAGAGCCCCAAGCGGCCTGCCTAAGATCACATAGGTAGTCAGCGTAGAAGCAGGATTTGAACCTGGGTTCTCTTTCTATTGTATCACCCTGCCTCTCATGCAATGAGAAACCTCACTTCTAATGCTATTTTCACTATAACACATATTAAATGCTTGAAAACATTAGACTAAGTGGAATAAAGGCCCACAGGCCAGGGCTGTAGTGGGTGGGAGAAGTTGGGCCCAGGGCTAGTTTAATAATGCTCTCTTCTCTTCCCTTTTAGGCCTTGTTCCCCTGGGTGCCCTGGGAACCGTGGAATTCACACTGGCTACCCTGCCCATCATCTCCAACCAGTATATCCAGTTGGACATCAATGTGAGTGAGCTTCCGAAGCTACTGTAAGGGGCAGCTAGAGCACCAGTCTTGAAGTCAGGAGGACCTGAGTTCAAATCCGACCTCAGACCAAACACTTGACCCTTACTAGCTGTGTGAGCCCTAGGCAAGTCACTTAACCCCAAATTGCCTAAAATACAAAACCAAACAACAACAAAAAGAGACGCTACTGTAAAACATCATCTAAGTGAGAATAGTGAATGGCTCACCTTTTACGTTTTGCAAAGGTGGGGGCCTTGGAGCTGTTGCAGGCCACTCTCCAGCTATCTAGATGCTTCTTAGAGAAAACTCAGATGTGGGTGCCTGGGTAGGAGAGTGGGGCTCATGGCAGCTTTTACTGAAAGAACAGCTTTCAGACCTAAAACAGGACTGAAGAGTCATCTGGGCCAACCTGTACCTACATAGGAAGCCTGTCCCTAGTTTCCTTGAGAAGCAGGCATTCAAGCTCTGTCTGCACTCCCCCTTCTGTCTCCTTCCTCTTTCCCTATAGGAAGCTTGTTACTGCCTGGGCAGCCCATTCTGTTGAGGAATAGCTCTGGCTTTTTGAAAATTCTGCCTCATATTGACGTCTGCCCTCCTGTAACTTCCAGCTGCTGGTCCTAGTCCTACTCTCTGGGACCCAACAAACCATGTCTAACCCCTCTTCCCCATGGTAGCTGCTCAGAGGTTTGACAACAGCTTTTCATCTTTTCTAGTGTACCCTCCTTCAGGGTAGGGACTCCCCTAGTTCCAGTTCTTTAGGGTCCATTGGTGTCATGCCTGGACATGGGTGTCAAGGCAGGGTCTATGTGGGGAGTTGGGGGATATGGGCTGGAAGCCAATATCTAAGGTCAGAATCATACCCTTTCCTGCTTTCTCCACCCCGCCCTGCAACCTGCCCCCAGTCTCTGGTTAAGAGTGCAGCTGGTAACGTGATCGACTTCCCTGAGCCCCCAAAGCCCATCAAGATGCCCCTACAGGAGGATCATACCTCGCAAGTGGCAGTGCCATTGTACCTCTTCAATACTGTATTTGGACTCCTTCAGACCAATGGGGCCCTGGACATTGACATCACACCCGAACTGGTGAGTGACAGGGGGCTAGAACTTGCTACAGCTATAGAGATGCCAGCATTGGGAATGGTCTTCCCTGTGGGGCTCAGACATCCCGGCCTACTGCCATTGCAGCAGAGAAGTTGGAGCCTTTTTCCAATTTTGCTGACCACACATGTTGAGTTTAGAGGTCCTGGATCCAAATCCCAGCTTTGCCACTCAATCTATGTGGCCTCGACCGAGTCATTTAGACTTAACCTCTCTGGCCTCAGTTTTCTCGTCTGTAAAATGAGGGAATTGAACCAGATAATCCCTAAAGTTTCTTCCAACCCCGAATCCATGATTGGCCTACTTTTCATATTCTCCTTTCAGTCTGGGCTGGTATTTGTCTTGAAAGGAACATGGGAGCTAGTGAGGTATGGGAGAAAAATCCTTAGATTCAGAGAAAGTCCAAGGTTCAAGCCCCAGCTCTGCCACTAACTTGCTGTGTGACCTTGGGCAAGTCAAATTCACTTTTCTGGATCTTAGTTTCCTCCACTCTGAAACGAGCATAATCATTCCATCATAGGATTGTGGTAAGGAAAGTGTATTGGGGAACCTTTTGAGAATGCTCTAGATGTAGACAATGTGGGCTATTTCCCTTTCTGAAACTCAGTTCCTTCATATATTAAAGGCACATATTAAGCCCAGTTTCTGGGTGAAATATGAAAAAGTGCTTTGAAAAACTGATAAAGGAAGCTAATTGGTGAAGTGAACGGTGGGCTTGACTTGGAATAGTAAGACATAAGTTCAAATCCAGCCTCAGATACTTACTAGCTATGTGACCCTGGACAAGTCACTTAACTGCCTTCTGCCTCAGTTTTCTCATCTGCAAAATGGGCTAATCATAGTATCTATCTCCCAGGATTGTTGTAAGGATCAAATGAGATAATATTTGTAAAATATTTTCAAATCTTAAACTGCTATATAAATGATATATATATGTGACATATAAATTATAAATTATATATGTACAGAAACATATGTTTATACACATTATGCATACACATATATAAATAATATTTAATTTTCATATATATCTATCCATATACATATGTTTATGAAGAATTACTCCAGGAGAAGGAGAAGCAAGGAAATGGCCCTGTAGGCCACTGACATTTCGCAATGCTTGTGTCCCCTCTACCTAGCCCCATCCTCCCAACACCATTTCAAGGTCTCTAGCCAAGCCATGCATGACTTTTCTCCTCTAATTGGTTGTGTCTGGTCCTGGTACAGGTTCCTAGCAGGGTCCCCCTGACAACCACGGCTTTGGCAGAACTGCTTCCCAAGGTAAGTGAAGTTGTCACATCTGCATATTAATTGGATCATATTAATGGGAAAGTGAAGCATTATTAAAATGAAGCATATTAATGGGATAGATAAGTAGTTTTGGACTTCACTTTAGGCTGAATGGGGCCCACCCTACTTGATATGACTGTAGGAATTAGAGCTGTAATTAGGGCCAGGCTGTGAGGGGTTTGTCCAGAGGCCAATATCTTTAGGGGAAGGTATTTCCTCCTTGCTGCATCCAAGAGACTGAGTTTCCCTTTGGCCTTTGTACTTTCAGGAGTTGAGGGAAAGATGAGCCTGGGAGACGGTGAGAGTGGACAGTCAAGGGCTAGTGTAGGTCACAGGAGGGGGGATGGGAAGGCAGGTGTCCCTTTTTTTCTCCTCACAACTGCACCCTAGGTTGGATTGTCTCTCCTAGGGCCCAACTGCCTCCCCCTCCCCAATCTCAGGAAGGTGTTGACTGGTCCAATTCCCTTCCTTCACTTGAATTTGCCCTAGGTGATGGGATACATAGTTAAGGCTCTGACCAGGATCCAAGGAAGGTCAGAGACTTGTGTTCTTTCTGTTTCTGGGTTTGCCATTAATGAGCTATGTGATCTTGAACAAGTAATTTCTTATCTTCGGGCCTCAGTTTCTTTTTTTTGTACAATGAGGGAGTTAGACTAGTCAGGGGTGAGGAGCCCGTGGCCTTCTAGGTCCTCAAGTGCAGTCCTTTGACAGTCAAAAGAGGACATAGAGGGCCATATGTGGCCTCAAGTCTGCAGGTTCCCCACCCCTGGACTAGGTCGTCTCCAAGGCACTCCTTATTGAAACCATTCAAAATTCATGTTCAGATATATCTGACTGATACCATATCCTTTCTTGAAAACAAGCTTTCACAGAGTGAAAGTCTGAGGCCACAGTTGGCTGGAAGGGGACTTAGGGAAGAATGAGGGCACTAAAGATTGTTTAAATCATTTAGCAAACTGATTTAGTAACTTCAATATGCAGGGCCCTGCGCTTGGTGCTAGGGATGTAAAGATAGATGGAACACAGAGACTTCTCCAGGGGTTTACAGATGAATGACATGGGTGGGAAGGGAAGAAGGTGAGGGAAGGAGGTGTGTATAGAAATAACTGTTCTTCAGGGAAGTGTGAGTTAAGTGCAAAGTAGAAAGTGAGAGAAAGTGTGGGCAAAGGGCTCTGAGATTTTTCTGGAGGGAGAGACCATATTTGAGCCCCATCCTATTCAATTCATTTAATTCCAACACATTTTAAGCCCTGTGAAGAGCACAGTGCTAGTAGCCACTGGGAATCAGCTACAAGGACAACTACAATAAGAGCCTGCATTTCCATAGAGCTTTAAAAGTTTGTGAAGCCCCTTAAATATGGTATTTCATGTGATCTCCTGTGAAAGTCCGATCTTCAAGGAACCAATTACATTCATCAGGTATATAGATACATATACAGATAAGTATGGGTATGGTTGGGGAAGAGAAGAGTACAAGCAGCAAACATTTATTAATCACCTACTGTTGTTCAGTCTTGTCCAATTCCTTATGACCCTGTGGATCACAGCACGCCAGTACTGTTCGTGAGGTTTCCTTGGCAAAGATACTAGAGTGGTTTGCCATTTCCTTTTCTAGCTCATTGTGCAGATGAGGAACTGAGGCAACCAGAGGTTAAATGACTTGCCTAGGGTCACACAAACTATTAAGTGTCCGAGGCCGGATTTGAACTTAGGTGTTTCTGACTCTATGGACAGCTAGATGGTGCAGTGGATAGACCGCTGGGCCTGGAGTCAGGAAGACTCATCTTCTTGAGTTCAAAATCTGGCCTCAGGTACTAATTAGCTATGTAACCTTGGGCAAGTCATTTAACACTGTTTGCCTCAGTTTCCTCATCTGTAAAATGAGCTGGAGAAAGAGATGGCAAACCACTCCAGTATCTTTGCCAAGAAAACCCCAGATGGGGACATTAAGAGTTGGACATGACTGAAAATGACTGAGTAACAACTTTCTGACTCCAGGCCCAGTGCCCTATCCATTAAACCTTCCAGCTACCCTGACTATATGCTAGCAACTGGAGATACAGAAGCAATAATGGAATGATGCTTGCTCTCAAGAACCTTGTAGTCTACTTACATATATAAATATAGACAGAATACACACATAATAAATATAAGATATTTAGAAGGGAGAGCATTAGTGGCTGAATCAGTAAATGTTTCACATGGAAGGGAATGTTTGAGCTGAATATTAAAGGAAACTAGGGTTTCTAAGGGACCTGATTTAAGAAGGGAGGGCAGGCCAGGCATGGGGCACAGCTACTGCAAAAGTACAGAGAGAGGAAATGGAATATTATGTATGGAGAACAGCAAGAAAGCCAGTTTGGCTGGACAGTAGAGTTTGAGAAGGGGAGATCCGATAAAATAATATAGGAATGTGTGAGGAGACAGAGATCTGTTTCAGCGGGAGGGGTCAACTTCTCAGCCCCTGAGCTAAATCTCGGAAGGAGATAAGTATTCTGAGAGGCAGAACTGTGGAGGGAATATATTCTAGGCATGAGGGACGGTCTGTACGGAGGGGTGGCATGGAAGAGTGTATTTAGGGAATAGCAGCTAGTCCAATTTGAATGCAATATAGAATAGTGGTGGTGAGTAATGTGGAGCAAGGCTGCCAGAGTAGGTCAGGGATGGAGGGTCATCTAGTCAGCCACTAAGCATTTATTAGGTGCTTACCTTGTCACGTCAACAAGCCAACACACCTTTATTAAGCACCCGGGTTTGTCCTCAGCACTGTGCTAAGATACTGGAGATACTAAGAAAGGGGAGAATAGTCTTTGCCCTCAGGAGTTTACAAAGTAATGGAGATATTATGAGCCAAGAAAGGTGCTAAGTACAGGCTTTTGTATTTGTTTCTAGAGGAAATAGGGAGCCAATGGTAGTCTATGAGTAGGGCAGTCTAGGCAACTCTAGGCCATCTACTGTACCATCTCACTTCCTCTGAAGGTTTATCAGTTGCATATTTAATTATGATGCCGAGTTTATAACAACTTTTTTTCTTGTTTTTTTTTTCCTTTCTTTTTTTTAGGCAATTGGGGTTAAGTGACTTGCCTAGGGTCACACAGCTAGTAAGTGTCAAGTGTTTGGTCTGAGTCCGCATTTGAACTCAGGTCCTTCTGACTTCAGGGCCGGTGCTCTATCCACTGTGCCACCTAGCTGCCCCTTTCTCGTTTTTTTTTTTTGTTTGTTTCCTCATGGTTCCTCCTCCCTGCCCCCATATTGGAATCCTATCCTGTGACAGAGTAAAATGCCTTTCATTTACTAACTTTAGCCCTAGAGAGCACAGAAGAGATCTGAGGATGAAATAATGGGAGCAGCAGAGAGGATCCCAGCCTTTTAGTGCTAGAAAAATAGCTGCAACTAGGGCAAGGCAATCAGGGCTTTTCCCCAAGGGCACCAAAATTGGAAGCTGTGCTAACAATACTTGTATTCCTTTAGCAACAGATATAGGAATAATAATACTCAGCACCTGGTTAACACAGAAATAAATAGTTAATACAGAACACCATCAGAGTCCCCTCTCCCCAAAAGCAGGCTACCTACCCAGCAGTGGCCTTAAGGTCTATAAGAACTGCAAAGCAGTTTTTTTTTTTGTCACAAAGTGGATTCTGTCTGGGTGGTGATGGTAAGTGTGATATAATTAAAAAATACATTAAATTTTTCCCAGGAGTAGAGAGAGCGATGGGCAAAATAGTCTTCTACAACGGCATTAAGTTTATGAGTGAAAGGATGTTTCTGTGGCCTAACCGTGCTTAGGGTTACCTGATCGGAAGAAGTGGGCATTAGAGGGATTTTGGTTAGGTAATAGGAAGAACTTTCTCATTAGAAGAAAGAATGGGACACATAGATCCAGATGTCCAAGTGGTGTCTTGGGACTTTGGGACTTTAATGAATGAATGGAATAAAAAGCATTCATTAATAGCTTTCTATGTGCCAGGCATTGTAATAAGTGCTGTGGATAAAAAAAAAAAAAAGCAAGCTAGTGCCTTCCCTTAAGGAGTTTAATGGGGAAGATATTACGTATAGTGGTCAGGAAGAAAGTGTTTTGGACAGGGAAGTCGAGAGGATGATGAGTGGATGCAGAGCTATTGTTTGACATGTCTTTTATTGGTATGGTTATGTTGCTTTGATTATGACTTCCAGAGCAAGAGATAGAAAGGGATTAGGTTATTATTTGCCTTGTGGCCTGGTATGAAGTCAGCCAGGATACAGCAGTGTAGGGCCTGGGTTAGGCTAGGAAGTTCCTGAAAGTTTGGGCAGGCAACTTCCCTTCCTAAAGGGCATCAGTGCAGCTCTGCGCCACCCAGGGGAATCTCTGAAATGCCCTTCCACCAAGAACTGTAACTAGCACCTTTGTCACCTGGGGCAAGGAAATCTCAAGATACCCTCAAACAACTTTTTTTTTTTTTGGCTAAGCAATGGGGTTAAGTGACTTGCCCAGGGTCACACAACTAGTAAGTATCAAGTGTCTGAGGCCACATTTGAACTCGGTTCCTCCTGACTCCGGGGCCAGTGCTGTATCCACTGTGCCACCTAGCTGCCCCCTCAAACAACATTTAAAGACAAATTCAAGGATTGTTTGGGGGAAGGGAACTTTGGACTTTGAGACAAGAATCTTAGGGTGGGAGAGGCCCTTGGACACTGAGGCATAGAGGGAGACTGAAATTCCCAATATGCCTGAGTCTAAGGCCTCTGATGGGTGGGGAAACGGAAGGAAGGGAGGAGGGAGTGGAACTCTGCTGGTTTTCTACCTTAACTAATTAATTTTGCTAATTAGGAGCTAAGCTTGGTTGTTTCTAAGTCTGCTGCTAAAGGAATACAAGTATTGTTAGCATGGCTCCCAATTTTGGTGCCCTTGGGAAAAGCCCTAATTGCCTTGTCCTAGTTACAGCTACTCTTTCAGCACTGGATGGCTGGGATCCTCTCCCCTGCTTCCATTGTTTCATCTTCAGAATCTGCTGTGCTTTCTAGCTGTAAAACTTTCTCATTTTAAGTTCTTCTGGTTCTTTGCCTGTTTTGCTTCTTATCCTTTGCCATGGAAACTTACCCTGCATTTCTCCCATAGGCCCTGGAAACTCTGCCCTCAGATCAACCTTTGCTGATCACATTGAAAGTAAAGGAAGCACCAGCATTCTTACTGAAGACTGGGAAAGCCTCTGTGTCGCTCACTGCGGCTATGGAGGTGCTGGTTTACCACTCCCATGGGACCCTATTTTCACTGGATTTGGTGAGCACCTACCCTTTTTGCTTTTCTGGAATCACAGACCAGAAAACATCTGAGCTGAGCTGACAGTGGCAAATGTGGAAAAGTCATAGAGTTTATAATCTGAGGATTTGGGTTCAAATCTTGACGATCCTACTTAGCAGGGTCATCACTACCACCACCACAGCTGCTGGTGGATTGGGAGTCAGAGGACCCCAGTTGAGTTTCATCATTATCATTTATTGTCTGTGTGATCTTGGGAAAGTAATTTAATCTCTCTGAGCCTCAATTTCTTCATGAGGATAATATTCATTGCACCACCTGCATCATAGGTTTTTGCCATAAAAGTTTATTGTAAACCTTAAATTTCTCTATGTGTGTGTTATTGTTACTACTGCATAATAATTGTTATTACTGAAAATAATGATGACAATAACAACAATAAGAGTAATAATAGCAGTATAGTCCACTTGAGAGGTCCAACACTGATTTCAGCAAGGCTCACCACAGGATGTCTGGATTCCTCCTTGAGAATGACCTTCAGGGGCCAACTTACAGATGCCCAGGAATCAGGGCTTCAAGCCCAATTATAGAGCCTCTTAGATTGAAGGATTGTTCAGGCAGGAATATGTGCTGGATGATAGCCAATGTGCAGTGAGGGAGCAGAGGAGTGAGCAAGGGTCAGAAAAAGGCTCTAGAAATAGAATAAAAAATGTCAGAACTAGAAGAGACGTTAGTACATAGAAAGTTAGAGCTGAAAGTAATCTTAGAAACCAGGTAATCCAACACCTTCATTTTGAGGATGGGGAAAACAAAACCTCAAGGCATAATAATAGCTAGCACATGTGTGTGTGTGTATGTATATGTATATGCACATATATCTTTAAGGTTTGCCAAGAGTGTTACAAATACCTCATTTAATTCTTACAACAACCCTGAGAAGTATTTGCTATTAATATCCCTATTTTACAGATGGGGAAAGTAAAACAGATAGAGGTTAAATAATTTACCCAGGGTCACACAGCTAGGAAGTAGCGGAGGTCATATTTGAATGCAAGGCTTCTTGACTTCAGGACCAGTGTTCTATCCACCAACTCACCTAGTTGCCTTTCTTACTAGGAAATTAAATAACTTCTTATAAATTAGTATCAGAGCTAAGATCTCCTGATTCCAGCTCAGGACTTTTTCCACTCTATCACAATCCCGGAATTTATAGCCTTTAAATCCCTTTGTATTAAAAAATTTTCACATACAAGGATTTTTTTTCTTTCACCTGGGAAATTATCATGGGGTTGGAGGGATAGCAGGAAGGATTTACTAATTAAGATCAATCAGAGAACTGACACAGAGGAAGGTAAGTAGAACCGGGAAGACAATTACTCAATAGCAGCAATGTTGTAAATGGAAAGAAAAAAAAAGAGGGAGAAAAGAAGAAAGGAAGGAAGGAAGAAAGAACAGAACAAATGAAGGAAGAAAGAAAGAAACTTAAGGCTACATAAATCAAACTTGTTCCCAGAGATAAGGAAGTGCATTTTCCCACCTTTCTTTGTAGAAGTGAAGAACTATGGGTATGGATGTTGCATGTACTATTACACAAAGTTGATGTATTGGTTAGTTTTGCTGAACAGCTATTTTTCTCTTTTAAAAAAAATATATTGTTTTTAAAATGAAGCATGACTTGGTAGATAGGCAAAAGAGAGAGACATTTAGAAAGGAAGGTTGGATAAAAACAAAAGTTATCAGCAAAAAAGGGACTGAAACATCATTCAGAGAGAAACAGTTGACATAAAATTCAACTTTTATGCATATATTCTGTAAAGTGAAGGATGCCTATTCTATTTTTTTTCCATTCAATTTCAGCACACTGAAAACTGACAGAGGATTAGATTAATGTTGCTTTTACATTTTTTTCATCCAGGTCCTGACACTGAGTGCTCAGCTAGCTACCTCAGCAACTAAACTACACTTGTCCCTCTCTCTGGAACGGTAATGAGGCAGACTTTATCTTCTCCTTGGTGTGCTGTTAAATATAGATGAACTTGCATTATCCACCTCACAGTGCCTTTTCAATAGAAGTGGAAAGGAACTTAGAGATCATCTATTCCAATTCTTTTATTTTACAGATGAGGAAACTGAGACCCAGGGAGGTAAATCACTTGTCTAGAGTCACAGAAAGTGAAAGCCAGGATTCAAAACCAGGTCAAAAGACCTGGAAGGGGGGTGAGTCAGAGAGAGGACTTTTGGCGGGGTGGGTCCTTCAGAGATAGAGGGACCAGTGCTCTTTTTACTTCCTCATATTAGAGGCTTAACCAGGGTTTATTTATTGTAATTGAATTAAGCTCTTCAGAAGCAATCATCAGGAAATACATTTCTGGGTCTATGATTGCAGAATAATGTCTGTTCATTCATTTTTACCTGTTATTGTTTATAACTTCTGATGTAGGTAGGTAATATCATCCCCATTTTGCAGATTTGGAAACTAAGACCCAAAGAAGGGAAATGACTTGCTCATGGTCACACATCTGGCAAGTATTAGGACTTGAACCCATGTCTTCTGACTTAAAATCAGTTGCCTCTTCTATTACACTGACCTACATTCCATTGCTGTTAGTATTGAGAGTATACTTTCTCTTTTGCACAGTCTTAGCTCCCATTTGTTATCTTTTTTCTACGATAAAAATATTGGTGTTCCTACAGTCTATTAAATATCTCTCAACTGGTGGCAGACTGATTGCCAAGACAGTAGGTCAGATTGAACACAGTTAATACTTGGCTATGCCTTTATTTTTTCTCCAAATATTACCTCATTTTATCCTCACAAAAGCCTTGGGCAGTAGGTGCTATTATTATTTGCATTTTACAGATGTGGAAACTCAGGCATACAGACTTGCCCAGTAGTAAATAGCTACAAAGTTGCCTGAGGCCAGATTTTTGAACTCAGGTCTTCCTGGTTCCAAGTATAGTGGGCTTTTGAGTTTCCTTCCTTATGTCTTTAAGATATAACATCTGAGCCTGAAAATTTAGTCCCGTCTCCAGACAGACTGATTGATATATATATATATATATATATATAACATTATAAACATATAGATATTATATCGTATATATTATATATGTGTTTTATATATGTACATCGAGAATATGTATATGTAATGTACACATCAGTCTGTATATAAAATGTTATAATCTCTTTTTATAAATTATACATACATACATGCATATATATATCTATATCTATAGATATAGATATAGATATATATTGCCACAAAGATTGTACTGATTGACATTTCATGTATTAAGGCACAATCTTCAGCTATTTAAGTGGCTGGGATGGTCCAGTCTCTTACCCTGCATTGATTCATTGCTCTTTCTAACTGAATCTAACCTCAAGACTGAGAAACATAGACTGTCAGAACTGGAGGGACCTTAGAATACAGAAGGTCAGAATTGTAAAGACCTTAGAACAGAGAATGTCACATCTGTTTTTTTTTTTTTTTGGCTAGACAATGGGGTTAAGTGACTTGCCCAGGGTCACACAGCTAGTAAGTGTCAAGTGTCTGAGGTCGGATTTGAACTCAGGTCCTCCTGACTCTAGGCCTGATGCTCTATCCACTGTGCCACCTGGCTACCCTGAGAATGTTACATCTGGAAGGGACCTTAGAATCTACCATATCAGAGTTAGAAGAATCCAAGAATACAGAATTTGGAATTGGAAGGTTCCTCAGTACATAATAATCAGCAGTGTCAGGCATGGGAGAGACCCTACAAACCATCTAGTTTAATTCCCTCATTTTATAGAGAAGGAAATTAAAGTTGAGAAGAGAAGTGACTACCCCTAGCATCATTGTAAGCTAGTGACAGAGCCCAGGCTGGAGTCCAGGTCTCCTGACTCTCAGTCCAGTGCCCTGGTCAGCACATTGGTCATGCTACCTCTTATTATTCTTGATTTGGTGACTGGCCCTGAGAATCCGGGCCTGACTGTGCTTTGGGTGGACTGCTCTGGCCTTGGTTCTGATTAGAACCCTAGGAAAGAGGAAAGGCTTATGGTGATAGCCACGGGAGATCCTGGGGTCAGGGAAGTACAGGTTGGGATGTTCAATGCTTTGGGACTTTCCCTCCAGCCCTGATTCTGTGATTCTTTAATTCTGCTATGAAGATATTCAGTGCCCAGGAATATACTTGACTTGGTGAAGTGGCCCCAAAACTTGGGTATTTGTCTCTCTTTTTCAAAAAAAGAGATGGTTGCGTGTGACTGTTAGAGTTAGACTGGACTGACTAGATGAGACCCCCTGCACCTTTTATTCTAGTGTCTTGGCTATGAGGCAGCTAAGTGGGGGCAGTGGTTAGAGTCCTGGGTCTGGAATTAAAATTTAGCCTTAGATACTTATTAGCTGTGTGACCCTAGTCAATCCACTTAACCTCTGTTTGCCTCAGTTTCCTGATCTGTGAAATGAGGATAATAATAGCCCTACTTTTTAGGGTTGTTGTGAGGATCAAATGAGATAATATTGGTAATTACTTAGCACAGTATGTGGCGCCCAGTAGGTGTTTAATAAATGCTGGCTTCCTTCCTTCTTCCTTTCTCCTCTCCCTCCCCTCCCTCCCTCCCTTCTTCCTTCACACTGGACTTCCTTCACTATGGCTATGAAGATCCTCTTTTCCCACTTCTCCCCCACCCAGCTCTCATTAGCTCACACTCAAATCCCCCTCTCCAGATTTCTTGTCTTAGACTGGCCCCAAATAGCCTGTTGCCCCAGCACATTTGACCTTTCCACCAGCTGAGAAGGTTGTCTGAAGGGGCAGTGCAAAGAAGCAGGTTGATGTTAAGCTGTAGAGAAGAACAATTGGCCTATTCTTGAGTTAGGGTCTTGTTTACACCTCAACTCTAATGGAAGGTGTGTGGATGTCAGACTTCCTCTCTTTAAACTCCTGGTTAGAAAGTTATAATTGTTAATTGACACAGCCCCATTTTCTACCCTTTCCCAAATCTCCTGCGCCTCAAGGTAATGGTTCAGGTGATAAGCTAATCCCAACCAATGTGTTCTCAGAAGATCAGCTACTCCCTCCCAAGGCATTTAATACTTTAACCCTTAGCAAGGAGGTGACATTTTCTGTTAGAGCTGAAAGGGACCTCAGAGATCGCCTAGTCCAGAAGTTCTTAATCTGGGATCCTTGAACTGGGACATGTATTTCAAAAAATGTCTTTATAACTGTATTTCTATATGATTGGTTTCTTTCCTATTCCTATGTATTTTAATTATATACATTTAAAGACATTATGTGAAGGGTCTGTAGGCTTTACCGGACTGCATGTATGTGTGTATGTATACATACACACACACACACACACACACACACACACACACACACAGAGTTAAGAACCCTAATGGTACATTCCCTTCATTTTTTACAGAGCAGAAGCCTGTGGCCCAGAGGTCATACAGTGAATTAAAGGCAGGGCTATCTCTTCCAGTGACAGGGACAAGAGCATAGAGGAAATATTCTAAGAGAAACTCCTCTCAGATCATACCCTCTCTATCTCCGAACCAGCCACAATTTCCCTGCCCCATTCCTTTTCTTTTTCTCTCTTTGTCTCAGAACCAAGACGATTTGTCCTTCTCTAGGCCCCAACAAAAGGAAAACAATTCAAGTTGGCCATTGTGGTCAGTGGTCTACGACTGCCCACTCTTCTCTTTCCTTTCTCCGCACCCTTCCTTGTTTCTCTGGGCTGTGGAGGTCAGTTGGAAATAATGATGGACTTGGAGTCAAGAAATCTGGGTTCAATTCTTTGCTCTATCATTTCTTAGCTATGTGACCTCGGGCAAGTTATTGTCTATTGGGCCTGGAGTCAGGAAGACCTAGTCCAACCCAATCCAATAAACCTTAAGTGTCTACTATGTACCAGGCATTGTGCTAAACATTAGGGTCCAGTTAATAAAAAGAAAGACAGTCCCTGCCCTCCCTGCCCTGAGTTCAAATCCAGCTTCAGACACTTACTAGCTAGCTGTGTGACCCTGGATAGCCAACTCATTTCACGTCTGTCTGCCTCAGTTCCTCCAAGTCTAAAATGGGGATAATAACAACCCATGCCTCCCAGATGAGATGATATGGTGCTGAGAACATTGTAGGCATTTAATAAATGCTTCTTTCCTTCCTTCTCTGGGCCTCAGTTTTCTTATCTATAAAATGAAAGGTTTGGACCAGATGATCTCTAATCTCCCTTATAAGAATAAAGTTTTAGAGGACTTTATGAGTTTGGAGGAAGCCCCAAGGCCAACATTCTGCTTTATCAACTCTCTCCTATTTTCTCCTTGGGAGACCTAGACACACAATCCATAACCCTTCAATGTCTCTCTTCATCCCTGCAGGCTCAGTGCCAAGCTGGTTTCTTCCTATGCTGCTAACTTTGATGTAAGTTCTTGGGGAAGGCCATGGGGTTGAAAGGGAGTGGGCCATCCCTGGATCCATCCCAGAAATGCCACAGATTGCTTATGTGAAGGGATAGGCTTAGCCACATAGTCCCTGCTGTTTCAGCTCCACTAATCCCAAACTCAGGCAGAGCATATCCTTGGGGTTCAGAGAGTCAGAGTACAAGCACTTTGAGGGCCTGAGCTGCTACTGGGAAGGGAGTCAGGGACCCAGCAGGCTTAAGGAAGCAGCTGCACCCCAGCTGATGCCAAGTGTCTCAAAAACATCCACGGTAAGCTTTCTCCTCCTCCCATCTTTGCCCCATCTTCTACCCTTTGGGGAGTATCTTTTTCCCTTTTAAAATTACTGTTTGTGTATATTGTGACTTGAAGTCCCTGGAATAATTTTTTGGGGGGGCAGTTTGGGCCAATGGATGCCTTGGTTCCATTGCAGACCTCCATAGCCTATCACATCAATTCTCTCAAATAACTCACAACAGTTCCCTGAAAGAGACATGTCTGTTATCATGTCCATTTTACAGAAAAGGAAATTAAGACCCACAGAATGACCAAGTCAAGGGTTAAAATTCAACTCAAACTTAGGACTTACAACTTCTAGTCAAGCATCTTTTCTACCGCAGCAGGCTGACAGTCCCTTTTAACTCTGGATAGAACATGGATATTTGATGTAGAGATTAGCTGGGATTCTTGAGTGCTGCAATTAGGCAATCCTTGGAAACTTGAAAGAGGAAGCTCTAGAACCACTAAAAACTCTGACTCTATAGAATGAGGAACTTGTTACCTCTAGGAAGCTCAGGGTGAAGAATGAACAGATTTTAGAAAGCTATAGATAAATGATGATGGTAGATCTCTGGTGGTTTTTTTAAAAAAATGGTCAGATTTTGGATGGCAGCTGTGCCCTTAGAACCAATGGTTATAGAAGACAAATACTACCTTTTGTAGCATCATTCATTCTTCATTCATTCATTTGACAAACATTAAATGCTTGCTGCGTGATCACCACTGTGTTATGTGCTGGGGATACAAAGAACAAAAGCAAAAATAGTGCCTGCCCTTAAGGAATTTACGTTCTAATTAAGGAGACAAGATGTATGTGTGCAGGTAAATAGAAGCTACATACAAAGCAGATAAACCTTAGAGGAGAAGGCTTTATCAGCTGGGGTAGGGGTGGGCATGGGGAGAATGACCAAGAAAGGACTTCTGCAGCATTTTAGCTGAGACTTCAAGATATCAATCCATCCTAAGAACTGGAGGGGAAGAGGGAGGGTATATTACACATGGGGGACAGCTATTGAAAGGCAGAAGGATCAATGGGCATTGAAGACTAGCAAGTGGGCCAACGTGGCTCAATTGTTGAGTATGTAAGGAGAAGTAATGTGAAAGAAGACTGGAAAATTAGGGAGGGGCCAGCAGTGAAAAGCTCTAAATGCTAGAGGAATTTATAATTCATCTTAGAGATAATAAGGAACCACTTGAGTTTATTAAGTATGTAGAGGTGATATGGTCAGACTTGAATTTTAGGAAAACCATTTTTTATAGCTGTGATGGATGGATTGGAACCTAAAGAAACTTGAGGCTGGGAGACTAGTTAGAAGGCATATGCCTATGTAAATATATGTATATATATATATGTATATATATATGTATATACACATATATATATACATATATATGTATATATATATGTGTGTGTGTATATATATGTATATATATACACACACATAGATACATATAAATGCCTTCTAACTAGTTTGCCATATATATGTACATACATACATACATATGTACATGTATATTTTTTTTGTTTTCCATTGGAGGGGTGAGGTAGAAGAGAGAGAGAAAATAAATGCTTGTTAATTGAAAAAAAATAATAAAAAAGGCTATTGCAATAGTCCAGTTAAGGGAGGATCAAGGCCTGAACTACAGCAGTGGCTGTGTGAATGGAGAGAAGGGAATATATGTGAAAAATATTGTGGAGAAAGAAATGAGATTTGGCAACTGATTGGATATTGTGGGGTGAGCAAGAGGGAGGAGTTGAGGATGATACTGGGTCACTGGAAAAATGGTGGTTCCCTCAACAATATTAGGGAAGTTTAGAAAAGAGATAAGTTTTAGGGAAAAGATAATATAAAATATTGTCCCAGTTAGGACTGGACCATGGAAGTGAGTTGAATGGGGAAGGGATCAAGGGTGATCTTGAAACATCCATAGTCTATAGGTCATATAAAAGTGCAAGGTTGCTACAGCCTTTTTCTTTTTAAACAACAACCCTGTGGGTTTGGTAGTTTCAGGAATGTTTGTGCTCATTTTATGGAGGAAGAGCCCACGATTCAAAGAGGGGGAGTCACGTGCCCATGAGTGGGCACACTGTTAGATGTCATTTGTCTAGGAAGCCTCAGAGCTGAGACCGGAATCGAGGTACTCACACAGGGTCTAATATGCTATTAATGTACCTGGAGAAGCTCCCCTAAGGTAGCCCAGATCACTGGGCTGTTGGCTGGATAGAGGCAGAGGGACCTCTATCTCTTTGCCTGTGGTGATGGCTCCTGACAGGACCAGCGGCAAATGTACTGAGCTTCTAATGCACAGAATGGGCTGCACATTAATGGAGGAAAGGAGATGATGGAACCTTTGCCATGCCTGCCAACCCCTCTGTGTGCTCTATTTCAGGTGTCACATCTAGAAGAGTGGCTCAGTGATGTCATGCGGGAGGCCTACCTGCCAAAGCTCAATGGTATGGAGTGTCTGACCTCCTCACCTTGCTTTTCAGCTCTGTGTGGCCCTCCCTCCCTTTCGCTTGTTGCTGCTAGTTAAGGCTCTGCCCCACAGCTCTTCACTAGTCTGATAGCAGATGCCTTTGGTATGCATTAATCAGCACAGCCTGGGGTTGATCTCTCTTTACAGGCAGTTTGTTACATGACTGCAACAAATTCAAGTCTTGACCTACAACCCATAGATGAATAAAACCAATGTGATCTCTCATGAGACTCCCAACTCTGCCTCCTCACACAGGCAGGATTTACCTTCTGGCAATTGGTCAATCAACACAAATTTATTAAGTACTTATTGTATGCCAGGAACTGTAACAGATGTAAAAGGTACAAAGGTGAAAGTGAAATAGAAAAAAAAATGTATACATATAACTATATACAGAATATATACATATCGAATGCAAGACAGTTTGTGGAGAGAGGGGAGGAAAAGGTTCAGGAAAGTTCTCATGTACAAAGGGGCTTGAGCTGAGTCTTAAGGCAACAAGAGATTCCAAAGGCTAGGCAATGGGGTTAAGTGACTTGCCCAGGGTCACACAGCTAGTAGGTGTTATATATCTAAGGCTGGATTTGAACTCAAGTCCTCCTGAATCCAGGGCTGGTGCTCTATCCACTGTGCCACCTAGCTGCCCTGGTACTTCATTTTAAACATTGCCTATACATTTACATATACCATAAATAAACGACCTGGACAAATGAATGGTAAGTGACTACAGATTGTGGGGGTGCATATTCCCTTCTGAGTCTATGCACTCACCTCCTCTCATCGACAGCTCCTATACCATCAGAGGGGCTAAACTGACCCCAGGTTTCACCTTTTACTGAGTGACTGATTTACTAAGATGTGTCTTCCTGCAGAAGACAGTCATTCGCCTTAACATGGCACTAATCCATTAGGATGGCATAATCTCTGAGTCATATTTCCAACAGATGGATGAGTTATGTTAAGTTGGCTACACTCATCGCATTAGGGCCCAAGGTCACAGACTGTGGTCCACACTGTGTCTTTTGGACAGAGCAAAGCTAAGCCAAGTAGAGATCAAACGCTCTTTTGTATGGAGTTTTAATCCACTGGACCAGCCAGTTACACTCATGTAAATGACAACATCTCTCACTTACATTATTCTGTGGCTCTGAGTTGAAAGAGTTTTACAAACAATCACTTCCTCTGTCCTCCTTGTGAAATAAGGTGAGTGGTGTGATTTGTCCCTATTTTACAGAAGAGGAAAATGAGCCCTGTAGATGGAAATTGACTGTCTTGAGGTCATTCAAAGAGTCAGTGGAGAGGCAGGAGAAGGATTTGTCTCCTTGTTCAGGCCTCTGACAATTAGACTCAGCAGTTAACTTGCTGCACATTTCAGTTAATGTCTCATCTCCTAATTCTTTACAGTGAATTTGGAAGTAGGCATCCCTCTGCCTAAGATCCTCAATGTCAACTTTGCAAATGCGACTCTGGAGATCATTGAGGTAAGTAAGACCTTGAGAATAGATTTCACCTGGATGGGCTTTTCATGTTACTTTAGAGAGTAATACCTCACAATTCACTCCCTGATGCAGTTAAGGTGGGGCAGTGGATAGATCACAGGACTTGGTGTCAGGACAGACCCTTACTAGCCGAGAGAAGATGGTCAGGTCACTCAACCTCTCTGTGTCTCGGTTTCCTCATCTGTAAAATGGGGATAATTGTACCTCACTCCTAGGGTTGTTGTGAGGATCAAATGAGTTCACATACATAAAGGACTTTGCAGACCTTACACTGTACAAATGCTACCTGTTATTATTAGCTGTTCCTTTTGAACACAAAGCAGTTTCTCCTCCATTTTCTATTTTGATCTTCATAATAGCCATGCTCTGAGGTGGGCAGAAAGGCAGGGATCACTGTTCTCATTTTATAGATGGGAGTAGTGAAGGGAAAGTGCTTCATAAACCTTAAAGGATTACACAAATGTGACATTATCATCATTATTATTGTAGTTTTTGCATCAGAAAGAAAACTGGCCTTGGCATCAGAGAACTTGTTTTAGAATCTTGGCTCCAATACTTCTTTTACCTTCTGACTTTGGGTAGCTTACTTAATATTCTGACCTGTTAATAAGGAAGTTGGATTAGATTCTTTCTAAAGTTTTTTTCCCCAGATCTAAATATTATGATACCATTAATAATGATTAATCAACAAACACATATTCAGTAATAATAACAGTATCAGGGTCATGTAGCTGGTAAGTAACAGAGCCAGGACCTGAACCCAGGCCTCTCAGTACATGTCCATCTGCTCTGAGCACCTACTATGCCCCTGGTCCTGTGCTAGGCACAGTGGGGGGACCTGAGAAAGAGAAAGCAAAAAGGGAACCAATCAATAGTACTGAATTAATTTACTAGGATCACTTAATAATCATTTCCTGAGCGCCTCTTATGTGATGGGGAATGCTGGGGGCAGGGTAGTGGTCCTAGAAATGAGTAAGGCATAGTGTCTGTTATCACTGAGCTGTTGAGTCTGTTGAGGGGTCAATGAAAAAGTGTCTGGGAGGAGGGAAGGGAAATTTAATGGTTCTGTGCTTAATCAATCCTTCCAGAATGCTGTCTTGCTGACTGTGCCTTCACGAGGCTGAGGGGATGGAGGAATCCCCAGGGCTTTGCTACTTTCTGAAGATACGGGTGAAGCCCTCGTGCCTTCCTGGTTTCCTCTTATTCTGAATCTCTTGTGGACCTCAGAGTAGATAAAGAAGAAATCAACCCATGGTGTCTCAGGCCAGCACTTCATGGTTTTATGACCCTTTGGCAATGATGCCTATTCTAGCTCTCTCAGGCTCTTCCCCAAGAAGGTCTTTTAGGACATGGGGTCCAGTTGGGAGAGTGTTCAGAGTTTACCCCCTGCAGGTACTCTCATTTCAATAAAGCATTCTACTATTTCTTCATTCCCTGACTGATTTTTTTTTCTTTGACCATACTCAGTTCTCTGGCTCTCTTCTTCCCTTCCTGGTAATCCAGCAAAAGGATTTGGAGAGTGGGATGAGAATTTCCAGGCTCTGTACTGGCCTCAGATGATATGATCAATTCTTGATGGAAAAAAAACATTAACTTGGGGCAGAGAGGTGGCGCAGTGGATAGAGCACTGGGTTTGGAATCATGAAGAGTCATCTTCATGAGTTCAAATCTGGCCTCAGACTATTTACTAGATGTGTGACCCTGGGCTAGTCACTTAACTCTGTTTACCTCAGTTTCCTCATCTATAAAAGGATCTGGAGAAGGAAATGGCAAACCATTCCAGCATCTTTGTCAAGAAAACCCTAAATGGGGTCACAAAGAGTCAGACATGACTGAAACTACTGAGATTATTAGCCTTGGTTAATAATAATAATAACAACAATAAAACTGATTATCTCAAAGTCATTCATATTTAGTTTGGGCAGTGTGTGTGTGTGTGTGTGTGTGTGTGTGTGTGTGTGTGTGTGTGTGTGTATTGGGGGGCAGGGAAGTAGATTTACTTTTCTTGAAGAGAATGGGTATTCACCATGGAGACAAAGGATGGCTATTAATGTAACTGAGTTCTCTTGGGAGGTCATACTTTAGTCCTTACAGCATTTGTAATTTCATCAGCATGGACACACCCTCCTACTGACACAACTCTTCCACCCCAGGTAGATCATTGTTTATGAGAGGCTGTGTCAAAAAGTAAGACAAAAGAAAACAAAAGAAAACACAAAACAAAACCAGACCCTTACAAAACAAAATCATCACTGTGTTGTCAAGGTGCAAATAGTGATGAGTCTTCCTGAATGTAGCTGAAGGTGTGGGACAGTTGACCTGCCTTCTGTCACTGGGCCCATACTCAGAGTCTTCCCAGATTGGAGGGATCTGGTAGAACTTATGTTTCACTGTCACCGCCTTGGGGAGTACCCTTCAGACCCTCCACAAGAATTAGAAGACAATTTTAGCAGCAGGAATGATCATGGGACTGAGGACACGAACACTGTGTTTCTAATAAAGGGCTGGCGCTGATCTAGCATTTCAAAAGTTGCCAAGAGCTTTATACAGTTTCCTTTAAGACTCATGATAACCGTATGAGGCAGATTCCATAGATAGAATTGTCTCCATTTTCAAGATGAGAACATTGAAACCCAGAGACTGTAAGTCACTTGCTGGTACCAGGGAAGGTCTTGAACCTTGTCTTGCAAACTCCAAGACCAGCATGTTTAAGTGAAGAGACTTACAGGAAATTTTTTGATCACATATTACATTTTACATGGTTAAATAATACATATATACATGTATACACACAAATAAATACATATATACAATTCAATTGTAAAATAGGTCACAAAGAAATGTTATGGTGCCTTGTACATAATAAAGATACACAATTGCTTCTTATTATATTTTTCCCAAGACCTCATTCTGAATTCTAATTTCCATTGTATGTTTGATGTATATACCCCTACTCCATCTGATAGTAGAGGCCCTTACCATGAACTTCTTCATCAGGCTAGCATTTGTTGCACTTATTTGTAATTGAGTTGAGCACAATGACACAGCCCACTAGACCGTGCAGCCTGCCTCTATAACACAATTCTCACCTTACATACATTTGCATTACACAAATTCAACTTTACATAAAGAATTCTGAAAGAAATCTGCACCTCACAAAAAACACCCATGTTAGTTAAGTTTACTGTATGGTACTGTGCTCTCTCTCCCGCTCTTGCCCCTCGGCTGGGTGCTTCATTCCCCAGCCTCCAAAAAAACCAAACAAGTTAGAAAAAAAGAGATAACCCCCCCACTTCCAAGTGAAAGCAGACAAACAAATTCAGGGAGAGAGTGATGCCTGGGCAGATTGGGGGCTTGGTTGCCGAGAGAGGAGACTTTTGTGCAGCTCCACCTATCCTGTATCTGGCCCCCATGTATCTCCTCCCCTCTCATGTTCTTTAAAAACTCTCTGTAGTCTGTAGTGTTTTATGAGTATAAAACACTTTTTCACCCATTTCTTCATTTAATCCCTGTAAGGGAAAATAGAATAGGTGTTGTCATACCCATTTTACAGATGAAGAAACTGGGGCTTGGCTTTGTGATCTTGGGCAAGTAATTTTCTTTCCTTCAGGGACTTTTATAGCACCAAGGAGAATGTCTCTGAATCCTTTATTTTTTCCTACACAGGATACCATTGTTGTCCAAGGATCTAGGGGGTTCCTGGGTGGGAGGCTCAGAGGAAATGAGTCAGACTGCGTAAGCTGCTGGGGTTCAGATTGGCTTTCTGTGCATCCTGGCCTTACTGGTTCCTTGGCTATCTACAACATCTCAGACAAGGCTTTCCTGACTCCTCCCCTTCTAGTGAAGGGGAACTCATGGCCTCCCAAGGCAATCCATTCCAAGTTCTCACTGGGACTAAGTCTTTCCTTACATCGAGCCTAAATTGGCCCCTGTCCTACCTCCACACGTTGCCCCTAGTTCTGTCCATATTGGGCCAAGGAGAACAAGTACAACCCTACTTTTCCTGGGGACGGAGAGTCCAAACTTGAAAGCAAGTCCCTGCTAAGACTTTTTTCAATATTGTCACCCTTCAATTGTAACCCTTCCCAGTGTCCTCCATGAATGCTTTTACCATCCTGGTCTTCCTTCTTGGGATGTACTCTAGGTTGCCTGTGTTCCTCCTCACATGTGGTACCCAGGACTGAACACATTACTTTAGCTGTGAGCTACCCAAGGAAGAATTCTATGTTCTAAGATCCCTTCCAGCTTTAAAAGTTTATGTTCAACATCCTTCCTGCATTGGCAGTCTGTGTTCTGAGGTCTGCTGGAGATCTCATATTCTCTGATTCTTTAATTAAAAAAAAATTTAATAAACACCAGAGAGAGACAGATAAATAGAGACAGAGTAACAAAATAGATAAGAGATAAGAGAGATAGAGATCAGAGACAGAAAGAAAGTGAGAAAAGGAAATGAGAGATCATTTCCACATACAATATAGAAAAGAAATTGAGGATTATATCTGAAAGGATTAATCTCTCTTACAGATACTTTGGATGAGAGATCCACATTCTATCAGCTCTATCATGCAAAAAATATATAACAAATTCAACACATTACTTTCAAAGCTGCCTTATTTGTCTGTATTTCCTTCTGAACTTCCTTTTTATTGTCATCTGTACAGTCGAAATTCTTTAATAACCCTCTTTTCTATCTGTTATGTTTTCTGATTCTAAAGTTTTCCATTTCAGAGATTTCCCTCCCAAACTATATTGCATTCCCCTTCAGTTTTCCTTTTCTGAATCCCACCATGATTATGATGATTTCTAGGTTTCAGACCTTAGAGACCATGTAACCCAATCCCCTCATCTTATAGAGCAAAAAACAGGGCAGAGAAGCAGTTAGATGGTAGAGTGGGTAGAGTACCAAGCTTGGAGTCAGGAAACCCTCAGTATGAATTGATCAATCAATAAACATTTATTAAGTGCCTACTGTGTGCCAGCTGCTGTGTTATACACTGGGGACACAAAAAGAAACAAAAGACCCTCCCTGCCCTCAAGGAGGGCATAATCTAAGAGGGAGGGGTACATGTAAGTAAATATACAAAAAGCAAGCTATGTATTATTTAAATATGAAACTCTGCCTCTGACACTTCGTTCCTGTGTGACCTTGGCCAAGTCATTTAAACTTTCTCAGCTTCAGTTTCTTCCATCTGTTGGACTCAATAGGCTCTAAAATCCCTCCCAGCTCTAAATCCTGTGTTACTGTGAAGTAACTTGCCCAAGGCTATACAAGGAGTAAATGGTGGAGTTTAGACTTGAAGTCACTTTCTCTGACTCTAAATCTGTTTCTCTTTTCCCAACACCATGCCACCTAATAATGCTGATGAAGACAATGATGGCTTAAAATTCTCTCTAGATGCAAAAATGATGCTGAAGAAATGTGAGGATTCAGATAGGAGCTCTGCAGTCACTTCTGTTGGAAGGCAGCGCCGGTGAGTCTCTCTCTCAGGGGCTGAAAACCAAATCCGATTTTGCAAAAACTGCTTGGACAAAGGAGCCGTTCTGACGCTAGGCCACCTAAGCTGCAGATTGCAGATTGCAACCTCTAGCAGCCTAAGTGGCTTGATTGAGGTTGTGCTGGGAGTGGGGCTGGCGCCTTTATCCAAGCTAATCTTCAGGAAAGTCATTTTAGGTATAAGCCTGGAGGATGTAACTCCAAACGCAAGCTTGTTCTTATCAAGGGCCACCAGAAGCCCCAGCAGTCCCGACGGTGTGTACTGTGATGGAATCTGGGTTGATTCTCACTGTAGCAATCTGCAGTGGTCACTGTTATGTAAAAGGACAGAGTGACACCCACCAGATATTGCCACCTTGTTACATTTAACAAGCATGGTGGAATTAAAGAGCTACATAAGACCCTGGAGATTCAAGATCACCTTGGTGCTTCAATTTTGATAGATCTTCTCCAGAGAGGATGCAGGCAGGAGAAATTTTCAGGGGACAAAAGGAGGAGTAGTCATAGCTCTTAATAAATAATACTTGTCTTAGGTCACCCTGGGGCAAGTGATTTCGCTTTTTTGAGCTTCAGTTTCCTCATCTGTAAGATGGAGATAACAATGCTTGCATTACTATCTTACAGTTTCTA